GAGGTTTATAAAACGAGAGACCATTATAGCAAAATCGGTTCTCATAAAATGATCTAAGATAAACATTTTAAATTGATGAAATGAATAGCCATTTATTAAAGAATACTTCTTCCATATCATAAAAAAAAAATGTTTTCCCTAAAGAAAGCGAAAAGTGAAAAATATTAATCAAAATTATGGAAAAATAAATTTTTTGATGTTTGTTTTTTTATTAAAAAGGTATAATGGTTTTTAATGTTGTATTGTTATATTTACAAATCACATTAAAAGCAAATTTTATTTATAATTTATATTTAAATAATTATATTAAATATTTTTATCTTGCTTTTATTAATATAAAACAGATATTCTAGAAAACTCTTATATTTTTCAATAACAAAATCTATGTATATACTTTTTTTAATAAAGATTTATTTTTTAAACAAAAACTTTTTTTTTTTGTTTAATTTTTTTTTTTAAAAAAATATTATAAAAAATTATTTACTTATTTTGTTATAGATGTAAAGTTTATAAAAAAATTTTTAAAGGTTAAAATACTAATTTTATTTTTTTTATTTTTATTAAAAATTTTATTTATATATATCAGTTTTTTTAATATATAAAAATTTAATATATAAAAATTTTAACAAATCAAACTTATTAAAATTATTTATAATTTTTTTAAAAAAATTTCAAATCAAGATCTTTTACAATATATTTATATAATAAAAAAAAGTACAGTTTTAAAGAATCTATTAATTATTTACTTGATATAATTATTAATAAAATTTTATTTTTCAAAATTAGTAAAATTTTTAATAATTTTTTTGATAAAATTTAAATAAAATTTAATATGATAATACAATAATATATAAAAATACTTGTTTAATAATATTCTTATATTATATTAATTGATTTGTAAATTTATAGTACAATAATTAATACTTTCAAGTTTAAATTATAAGATATCAAGTTTAATTTCAAGTAAAAAAAATTAAATATTATTAGTATTATTTAATATTATTTTTATAAGAAATCAATTTATATATTAATTTAACAAATATTAAAATTATTATATAGAGAAAAAGTTAAAGTATTATAATTAATTAGTTAATATTATAATAATTTATTATAAAAAAATATTTAAAATATTTAAATTTAAACAAATTAATTTAATAATTTTTTTCTTATAATATTAAATATTTTTTCAATCTTAAATTATAAAATTTTAGATAACTAATATTGTTGTTAAGAAAGTTATATCATAATTAATAACTAAAAATATTTTTAACTATAACTAAAATAGAAATTAAGTAAAAATATCGAAGTGCAAATATTAATTTTGATTAAATTAATAAATTTAAAAATTTAAAGATTTTATTTATCAAAAATAAATATTATTTCTGGTTCTATCTTTTTTTTTTTTATTCTTATATTGCCTTGATTTTTCTTTTTTTATATGTTCTAGTTATTTGTTAAGCATTTTATTTCAAACTTTATTTCAACTTTCTTTTCAAATCTTCAAAATATTGAAACATAAGAAAAAATACTTAAAAGATTTTTCTTTTTGTTTACAATATAAACAATTGATTAAATTTTTATATTTTTTAAAAAATTGTTTGTTTATATTATTCAAGATTAAAAGTTCATTATGTATATTTTTATTTGGAAGATTTTTTCTTTAATTTGTTTGTTAATCTTTCTAAAAATCCTACTTTTTTTGTTTCTCGAAAACTTTTTCAATTGAAGCTTTCATAAATACGTATTTATTTTTTGGATTATTTAATTTTTGTTGACCTATTTGTTAAGATGTTTCTTATATATAATTTTTAATAAAATCTTTTGTTTCTATATTGATAAGAATTTCATTTCAATACAATATTGTTAACTTTTTGTTGATATCTATTAATCTATATAATTTCAGGTTTTTTGGATTTGGATTTCTTTTCAATTCAAAATAGTATTTGCATTACATGTAATATATTTGATTTTATCTATACCTACTTCTTCTTTACCAAATAGCTTTATATATTTTTGATCTTGCTGTTTTATCTTTAATCTTACCATCTGATGTAAGGCTTCTCTAAAGAATAATAATACCAACATAAAATTTGTATCTGACCTGATTTAATTGCTTTATCAAATACTGTAAATCTGAGAAACTTTGTACAGAGCCCGGAACCATATCCTGTATACAAGACTTACTGTTATTCGAAGATGTAAAATTGATTTTGGGAAAACAATACTTTGTGATTGATTACCGGTCATTTCTTGTATTAAACCTTCTACGATTTGATTGTCGGATTCAGATATTTCAATGGAAATAGTATCAAGGGCGTAATTTTGATCGTGACATTTTGTCACGGTTTTTGCATCACATAATGACAGGAGTGTCATATTTTCAGACTCATGATTAAATCTTGTTCACTAAGCTTTTTTTCTTTTATGCTCTGAATTATCTCTTCACTAACTTTTGTACTTTGAATCCAGGAATCCATCGATCTCCTTATCTTCTAATTATATGGGCTCAGCTTTTAGCTGTCTTGCGTTGACGCTGACGCTATATTCCTTATCAGAGTAGTCCTCGATAGATGTGAGGGAGATAATTGAGTGTGATTAACTGGTTGGAGCCTGCGATATAATTTGATTTTGCTTTTCGATTTTATTAACAGTTTGTTCGAGTTTCATGATTTTGACCTTAAACTCAGCATTGTCTTCTATGATCTGAGTTTTCGTGCTTATGCTCAGCATTCTCAGCCCACTAGCTTAGCATTTTCTTGTCTGAGTAAATCTAGTTCGAAAGACATGCTTGATAACGTGTTTTATATATTTGCAGATTTATTTAAATTTATATTTTGACGGGTATTGTAAGAAGTGAACTTTGTGTATTAAACAGAGGTACTATCTTATTATCTTGATGCCTAGAAGACCTCGGATAGTTCAAGGTAAATTTATAGCCAATACCGTAAATCGTCTGACCCAAAAATTTTCAGCTTTCGAAAATGTCCAAAGCAAAAATAGATCTTGCTAACTTGGATTTTAGCCGTACCTACTCATTTGAAGAGTTCGAATTAATTAACGAACAGCTCAAAACAAAATACGTTCCTTAGAAGTCAAAGGCAACCAGTCAATTTATTTAACCGTTCCAGTGCCACAGGCCACTCACTGTATGGAGGTTACTGTTGCAGGGATTGTAAGACAGCTTGGTAATTGGAACATTCAAATTCGACAGAACGAGGACGTAAAAACATCACAAGGAGGGTTTAATTTTAGTGTTGAAGGCCGAAAAACGATCAATGTTCCTGATATCTCCTTCACACCCAAATCGGTATTTCGTCAATTGACTGGATTACAACGTTGGACTTTCCAAGGGTCAACCATTCACTCCCAACTTCGTTGTCGAGGTTGGAGATATCGCAATTAGATCGACGTTCGAAGAGTTAGATGACAAATTTAAACGCGAATACTTTGCAGATGGAACATCTGTACAACTCGGTTGGCTAGTTGATCCCAAAAATAGAAGAATCTGGGAATCAACATGGAATATCTTTCGTCGTGAGCGTGCATGGGAAGATGTATAGGGTGGTGATGTTTTGCCAGGGTTCACATTGGAGGTATGGATAATTGAGGAAGCAATTTCACAGGTGCGTCATCGTTATTTACTTCTATGTAGCATATTTCACCGCTCATGTTTTTTGATCACGGGAATCGTCCGAATCATCGGCAGAATGTGATGGACCGGTCGTCTGTCCTAAATGTCGTACTACTTTCCAAGGTAATTGAACTTTTATGAAACATTTTTCAAAAGAGTATAGTGTCGTGGATAAAAAGTAGGCACAGTAACGTAACACGCCGTCGCGTCATGTAATTTGTGTCAACGATGGGAAAATTTAGTGGGAAATTCTAGAATAAAGTAGAAATAGCGCATGTACTGTATAAATACATGCGCCGTTCGATAACATGTAAAAAAAGTTAAGTTTAGAGTTGGGAACGCATTAAGTGATAAACGATAAAGTAACGTTTAAAAGAGAAACGCTTACCTTGTGTTTAATGTGCCACAGTAGACTATAACTTGGGCTACGCGACTACAAGAGAGAACCGAGGTTTTCCTAAGGGAATTGGCATTGGAAGGGCTCTAAGTTAGTCGGTAGAGAAGTTAAAGAGAAGACCGGCCAAATCGGAAACACGCCTCAAGAGTTAGAGATATTTACCTTATTGTGAACTGAACGAAGCGAGAAGCATTGTGGGCTTACCGGATAGCCCACGACAATAGTGTTTTTACTGAATTATGTCACAAGTAAACTCGGATCGCTATGTCTGTGCACTCTGTGCATTAATATTTCGAACATATGATGCAGTAGTTCACGTTACTTTATAAATTTTTTCTAGAATTAGTGTTTTCCTAACCTGCAATGCTATATATTACTTTATATCTACCAATACAAAAAAAAGGATTATAAATTTTTTGACTTTTTTTGAAAACTTCTTTTGAAGGCTAATATCAAATCTTATTGTTAACCTTTTTTTGAGCCTCATATTCTTCCATAGATTGTTATAAGATGTTTTTTTAATTCTTCTTCAAGAAAGTAATATGCTCTTAAGACTTTATAATATACAGTATATTGTTGTTGTTTTTCTTAATTTTGGATATTTTTAAATATAAATTAAAAAAAACAGAAATTATCAATTTCTTAATATAGATTTTTTGTAAAAATCTTTTTTCAAAAATTCAAAAAAATTCAAATATGACAAAGTTCTTATCCTTGATTATTTTCTTAACTTTTTTATTAAGGAGTATCATATACCTTAAACCCAATTTTTATATAAAAATTAATTTAAAAAATCAAGGTATCATATATCAAATTTAGATATACTCCTTATATTCGATTTACAAATAACAATATATAATTGGATACATTATTAACCATGTTTTTTTATCTATATAATCTAATGACAAAAATTAGTTATTATTATTAAATCAAAATATATTATATTATATGTAGTCTAATATATAAAATATATTATTTAGGATATATTATAAAAATAAAATATATATAACTTAAGTGTGATTTAAGAAACAAAATACATATTCATTAAAAATAATAATATGAATGCAATTTACTTATAATTTGATAAACAAACTATAATTATTTTATTTAAATAATTCAAAAAGCAAATTATAATTTATTTTATCTCAATAGTCTAAAAAGCAATTAAAATATCTTGGTATGTGATCTAAAAAATAAAATAAATTATATTTTGAAAATGGTTATAGTTTATACTAAGTGATATAATTATAATTTAATTAAACTATAATTATATTACTTCTTGTTACAATATTTATAACAATAAATAAAGTTATAATATTCAGTATTTTTTTGATATCCAATTATATACTGGATTATAAAAATATAAAATATAAAAATTATTTTAAAATTATTAGATAAATTTTATTTATTATTTTTTTAAAAAAATAATAATAAAATCAATTAATCCATCTATTTTATGAAATACATATAAATAGATGTTATGTTTAATTTATGACTTTACAATTTTAAAATTTTTTAATGAGATTTCGGATTTTTAATGAGTTAACTAAAAATATAGATTTTATGTTTGTAAAAAAATAATAATTGAACTTTAAATTTCAAGATGTGGTAAAGAATTAAAGAATTCTTTTCTGACATTATTATTAAACCTTAATATTGAGAGATATATTAGTTCATAGGAATATCGATTTTTTAAATTTATGATTTTATTTTTATTTGTTTTCAAAAAATACCGTATATTAAATAAACAGCACATATTAAAAGAAATGAAACCGTTATTACAAAGTTTTTTAACCATACAATGTCGATTGCTTAATGTACTGTTAGGGAAGGAGGGACGGGATCGGCGCGTGTCATGTGATATGGCGCGAACTGGATCATGCATCAGTGAGGGAGTCTGTTGGAGAATGACGCGACGTTAGATTGGTGGACGCGTCGCAGCTAATATAACTAGATGTAGGTTAGTAAAAATCTTGTGACCAATTGTACTCTCGGCATAATTAATAAACTTACTTTATTAAAATACTTGAAGGGGGACAAGCGGGAAGATGAAAAGTTAGATAATTGTCGTACCTACAAGTACCTTTAGTATTGCAAGTGACACGACCCCTACGTACCAGCATAAGGCGAGCCTAGTTCCGGATTGGTGATGGCATGCTTACCTGGTCACATTATGCATTCCGGCAGCGGCTGAAACACAAGGCCGAGGAAACAGGCGTGATGGTAATTATCCAGGATGAGGCGTACACTTCCAAGACCTGCAGCTATTGTGGGAATATACAAAACATCGGCGGAAGAAGAGTAAATAAATGCAGAAATTGTCATGCGATTATAGACAGAGATGTAAACGGAGCTCGCGGGATCATCATACGGGAGTCACTTGATGGAGTCATCCACATTTGGATGTAGGAATTGATGATTTTTTAACTTAGCAATGACTAGTAATGATTATCAATGATGTGTTACAATCCATCCGAATAACGTAAACAAACAATCAAAAACATTAAATAGCAAGACATTACATCGTTTGTTGATTTTCCGCGGGACAGATTGTTCAACAGATGTTTCTGGTTAACATCGTATGACTTAAAAAAAAATAATAAGGAATCTTTATAATTTTACTTGCATGAAGTATCACTCTTCTATATGTCCATTTGTTCAAAATTATCACATATACTATATACAGTATGTTTAATGTTACACGCCATGATACGCTTAAATCGACAGGTATCTTTTTTTAGAACTAAAATGAATTCAGTTACGATCTGCGCCACAAGGAATTTTATGGGTTCAACTACACAATCGCCGATGTATTGGAAAAGGTAGACACAACCGATTTATTTTTTATTTAATGATTTTAGATAAATTTTGCGCATCCAGATTTGTCACCGCGCATAGCACATCCATCGTTCTTTGTACTTGATTTTCACCACAAAGATCAAAGACTGTCTTTATCAAATAGCTTAACTGCATGGTAAGAATTAAAATGTAACGATAACGTCTTCCTTGTATCCGAAACAGGAAATTTAAATTTCTCCGTCAAATATTTGTTTTTCTAATATACTTTAAGTCCTTTGTTTACTGGATTTAAACAGATTTCAAACATAACTCGTTTCCAAAACAAGTTATTAGTACGACATAATATCTGAATGCGTTACTTCCAAAAATCGATCAAAAAAGAATTTCGACGATGTAATGTAAAAACTGTAAAAACGATATGATCGGTGATACGTTAGTCGTTAACAGAGCCCAATGCTAAGCAACTTTCTTTAAAACAAGATGCGTGAAACAGATTGTTTGAATAGGGATTTTTTATTTAACGGATTGTATTGTGTTTATATTAGCCGATCATGAATCTATTATTTTTTGGATTACGATAAATGCAACTTGTACGTACGGCTCGCATGCACTATTCTATAAAAGAGGCGCACGTAGAGGCTTTTGGATAATCAGTTGGGTTCTCTTTGCATCTTGAATGCTAAAAATTTCTCACATTCCTTTTTTTTTTGTTTTTCGGCTGTGTCAAAAATAGACTAACGCCTAATATTACATTTTATAAAGAGAGACATTATTTACCTACAAAGGCTTTATATATAATAGTTATATATATATAATTCAATATTTTCATTTCCTTGCAAACACCCTGCTTCTGTAAAGCATCTCTCTAAACACCACTTGGTATTTTTTAGTCGATCCAATTTCGATTGCGATTTTTTTTTTCTCAACACATCATGAAGTCAAGAATCGAAATTTTCGGATTTCTTCTCTTCTTTTCATTACTGTTATTGAGCATAATCCAATGCTTCTGGGAAGGCAGCGGTGGAAATGATCCTTCATTTCTGTCAAGCAAAGCTAAGAGGGGTCTCATTTCAGATGTTACTACAACTTTGAATAGTACATTAGATACCGTTGGTCATAACACTTCTTCGTCGAGCGTCACAGATGCATGCGCAAAAATCCATCAAAATTATTTGAAAAACAAAAGCAGTTATCAACCTAGTTATTTAGATGTCAGAGCTTGTTTCGGCAGTTTTCAGTATGATAAAACCAGAGCTGGAGAGGTGATTGGTTTATTACAAGTTATAGGTCTTCATTTATTAATCGGTTTTGCATTTTACTGATGTGTCTTCATAATCTAGATCATCGGTAATATCAAAAATATTCTAGAAAATTTTTACCCGTTTCTAGATCAAGCCAAAGAACAGCCTCAACCAGGTTTTACCTTTCCATCCACTGATATCATCCATGATCTCGATGCATTACTTCTGAACCCTTACACCACGGACTTTCAATTTATGGTGTGTATAATTTTTTCTATGGTCAATTCAAACTTAAACGGTTGACTTTTTCTCTGACTCGTTCATTGTAATCTTCGAAAACAGAGTGACCTACAATCCAAACTATTTCAACTTAAAGACGCACACCTTCTTTTCTTCTCTAATTGCTATAATCAAATTTTTACTTTTGATCAACAATTAACATTATATTCAATGGTAAAATCTGATGGTTCACAAGTATGTATTACCGTTTCACTGTAATACGATTATGTTTGCGCAAAGTAAACTTGAATTAATTCTCTACGTTATTTATCATAGGTCATAAAAATATTGAGTGATACAAATGATAGCTCTCTAACCGATTGCGAGGTGACAAGCATCGATGGACTACCATCAATGGCTGTTTTAACAGATTTTGCCAACACTCAAACATTTACATCCAAGGATCTCGGAGTTCGTTTCAACTCTGTACTCGGTTCCATAGGTCTCGAAAGTGGGAGCTTCCGAATCTCTGAATTCACTCAACAATTCACTAAAAGACGTCGGTTACCTTCGGAACCCAGCCACACATACACTCTTAGCTGTAACGGAGCTATCAAAACCATCAATCGTTCCTGGAAAATTAGTTCTTCATATTACGATGGTTTCACCAATTCTTCTTCATACTGGAATAATTTTTGTGCTGCTTCTAAGTTCACTGTGCCGAGCGTTTTCAATGATTTTAATCCTGGCCAAACGTTCGACAATTCGCTTTCAAAAGGACAATTGGTTTACAGTGGTACATTTTCGAGATTTTATCTGATTGATCAAATTGGAGTGGCGGTGATTTCCACGATTGTGGCTGACGATGATCCTACAAGTGCAATGCAGGATTTGGCGAATGGCTTCAATACGCTTTCGAGTAAAGGAGCAAAGAAGGTAAATTTTCTAGGACTAATTATATTTATCATTTATCAAATCTAGCAAGTGCAAAAGATGAACATTTATTTTTGAAAAAATTTATTATAGCTTGTTCTCGACCTGTCGAATAACTCTGGTGGTTCAATACTTGTTTCGGAATTCATATGCGCCCTTCTATTTCGTGACACGGATCCCGCGTTCCCCAGAGACATGAGGGTCACAGATTTCTCCAAATTGGCCATCGATACGGCTACCACAAAAAATGTCAGCGATTCAATATTCTACGCCCCGCAATACAACTCTTTCGCCACAAAACAAGCTTTCTCCAGTTCCTCCGATTTCATTGGGAAAAATGTGTACACACGAGGTGGTTCTCAAGTGTCGTACACGAACCAATTTTCTTACACCGTTAATTCAAACTACTCTCAGCAAGTTCTTAGTAATCAGTCAGTACTCCCGTGGGCTTCTCAAGACATGATCATTTTGTCGAATGGAATCTGTGGATCCTCATGCGCCACAATAAGTCAACATTTGGCGGAATTGAACAATGTCAAAACAGTAGCTGTCGGTGGATTCGCAAACAAACCACTATCGTTTGCATCATTTCCCGGTGGTCAAGTGTATAATCATTATGAATTGCTTTATACGTTACAGGAGATCGGTTTGATCAGCAATGAGAATTCACCACAGCCATTTAGTATTAACGCTCTCTTCAGTTTTCCGATCTTTGAGGCTTATAGTACTAAAAATTCTGGTCAAGTGTTGGAATTTAGTTATAGGAAAGCAGGTAATCGATTATACTACAATGAAAAGAGCATAAGGGACCCTAGTTTATTGTGGGTTCAGGCTGCTGCATTAATTTAAGCATGTAATTATTTCATCATCACGTGTAAAAATCTTTCATTTTTCATCATTTGCATCTTCTACATACCTATTTATTCATTTGTAAATTGTCATAGATACATACATACTATATATCCATTTTTTTTTTCTTTGTAAATGACATAGAAACAAACACTCATGCAATATATCTGTAAATTGGCATTGATATAAAAATAAAATTATAACGTTTTTAAATTTTGTAAGTTTCATAAAAAAATGATGTGCGTTATCAAAAAAACTAGTGTTTTTACTACTATTAGATTTATGTAATTATAAATAACGTAAAAAAAAAAGGTTGAAATACTGTAATTAATTACTTGAAAATAATTGCTCAATTCCATAAAATATACAAAGTCAATAAAATAAAATTAGAACAAGTAGAAAAAGCCAATAAGAAATAATATAAAT